TTTCCGATGAAGATTGAGTAGCCTTGTCAAAATATCTCAGGTATTTAACAATCCATGATTTATAACATTTGAAATTTAGCATAAACTACCCAGCTTACATCACATAGTTGTCTAGTTTGTTGTAAATAAGGGTTTAAAACAAGGTATTCATAAGAACAATTTCAGTAATCTAGACTGCCTCACGTGCTTCACTATAGGGAAAGCTTTAGCATACATGGGTTAATGTTCAACTGTAGAAAAGAACCATGAGCAACTTATGAGTGGTTTCTCTTTATCAGTTTATTGGAAAGAATAACCAACTGCTATCTTTAATCATCGCATGGATCTTGATTATAAGATCCACTAGAAGACAATTTTGACTAAGTCCAGGTTCCTGTGGTGAAATTTAATATCTATGAAATGCTAACTTGTAAAAATTTAAAACCTCCACATTTACTGTTAGGCCCTAAATTAAAAAAAAAAAAAAAAAGGAAAAGAGAGAAAACCAACATTTATTGTACATATTATATGTGTTCTACCAGGTTCTATGGATAAATTATATTGCTTAGTCTTTTCAAACAGATGAGAGTAGGATATTGCTTCTCTTTTAGAGATGGAAATGCTAAGGGCGACTGTAACTTTACCAAAGCCCCACAGCCATTAAGTTAGAGGACTATGAGCTGTCAGGATTTACCTTCACAAACACCTGGCTCCAAAACTCACATTTTCCTTTCTCTTATTATATCATATCTCCTTCAAATTAAAACAACAACAACAAAGAATGAACTGTAAAACTGTAATACATGTGTATAAAGATTTACAGTATTTTTTCCTTTGATTTTTTTCTGTTGTCTATAATATATATTTGCTCTCAGGATAGAAGGAAGAAAACACATTTACCTGTACCTTACAAACAAATGTGGACTCTGAAAAACAAAGGAAATATTTTTTTAAATCTCCACTAGATAGAGAATGGAAGCTGTTCTTACTCATGCTGGTGATTATGGGCCATCATTTCTCTATGGACATCTTTGATTGCTTAAACCTATATTAGCATTTATTATTCATATCGTAACATAGGACCACTCTGAAATAGTAATCCCTAGCTCTTGTTATGTGTCATTTTCCAAATTATCACAGAACAGCTTAACATCTACAAAATATTTTTAAATCAAATATTTTAATTTGCTTTTTTTTTAATTTAATTTGCTTTTAAAAAAAAAATAAGATTATGCTACTCCTCTCTTTTTGTGTGATATATGACTCAACTGAGGTCCCACTAAAGAATTTTCACCTGAAGGGTGAAGACATATAGAGAGATATAATATTTAAAGGACTATTTTGAGAGATATTTACTCACCATTTGTGGATACAGATGGTAGGATGAGGGTTCATGCATTTATAAAAGAAATAGAAAAGGAGGCTTCTGTTCATCACAAATAAGACAAAATAACTAAAATTACTACAGATATGTAGATATGGAATGAGTTGTTTTATTATAAATTTTAAGGAATTGAGGTAAATAAAAGAATAATACCATGGCAACAACTTTTGAATTCTTACTGTAGTCCAGTCATATTCTAAATCCTTTACAGATATTATCTGTTTCATGCATCTAGCTACTCTTTGAGGAATACTCTGCTCATGCTACATGAAAGGAAACTGAGTCAAGTTATACAGTTCAAGATCATTCAGTTACTAAATAGAAGCCAGTATTAAAACCCAAATCTATTTGGCACTAAAAGTTGGCACACTTACATCTAAACTATAATAATTAATTCTATATTTTTCTTTCTTCCAGCACCTCATAATTCAGTGCAAGAGTCCATTCTAGTGATCTAATTATCTCTTCTGCTCAATGATGTATAATTTTTCAATTCATGTTGGGCACCTCCAGTAATAAGAAAATTCACTACTATCCAAAAAGAGATAGTGAAAATGATCTCTTCACATATTTAAATGGTTTTCTTGAATCCCCAGAAGGCAAAACTAATTTCTAATAAATCAATTGAAACCATATTTTGAATTTAATACATTAATGAATTGAAGAAAAGATTAGATATTATTTTAAAGAATAGGCAGTTAAGCTTCCTTCTATCTATAGGAATCTGTAGAAAACGTGAATGCTAGGCGTTAAACTTGGATATTCAGATATATTTTCTAAATAGAATCATCTAAGAACTGCCAAATCATCCAGAATTTCATTTTAGTCTTAATATTATAATCATGAAGATAACTAGTTACTTTATTTTTTTTTAAAAAGATTTTATTTATTTATTTGACAGAGAGAGACACAGCGGGAGAGGGAACACAAGCAGGGGGAGTGGGAGAGGGAGAAGCAGGCTTCCTGCAGAGCAGGGAGCCCGATGTGGGGCTCGAGCCCAGGACCCTAGGACCATGACCTGAGACGAAGGCAGATGCTTAACTGACTGAGCCACCCAGGCACCCCTTAACTAGTTACTTTAAAAATGTTTTTATGAATAAATGTTTTAAATCATTCTCACTTCTTACGGCTGCACTGTATTCTACTATATAGATGCAACATAGTTTATTCTTCCTGATTAGGTAGGTATCTGTGTTGCTACAAATACTACAAATAAAGCCACAGTAAGAAGACTTTTGCATATTTTAGCCAGTGTTTTTTGGGATAGATTCTTAAAAGTAGGATTGCTGAGTCAATTATTGCTAACTATTGCCAAATTTCTCTCTATAGTTACATCATTTTGCATGACTACCAGAAATATATCAGAGGGCCTGTTTTCTTTCCAGTTTGCCAACAGCTTTGGCAAAGTCGTCAAACTTTTGGATTTTGGCAAATTCCATAATTGCAAAGTGATATATCAATATATTTTAATTTGCATTTCTTGTACTATTTTAACCTATATTTCCTGTATTTTCTGCTTTATGAAAAGTGTTGCCATTAAAGCAACTTGGCAAGTCTTAGTCTTTAGCACTCATTATACAATGTTTTTCTTTTTCCCATTTAATAATTTTGGGCCTGAATTCTACAATATTGGATATCAAGACTTAACTTTGCTTCCTTTTTATTTACATTTACCAAGATCTTTGCCATTTTGTTTTTAACCTTTCTTAATGAGACATGTCTCTTGCTGTATTAGTCCATTTGGGCTGCTAACAAAACACCACAGACTGGGTAGCTTATAAACAGCAGAAATTTATTGCTCGCTGTTGTGAAAGCTAGAAGTCCAAGATCAAGGTGCCAGCATGGTTGCATTAGGGGCCTTTTTAGGGTTGCAGACTTCTTGTATTTTCACATGGTGGAAGGGGCAAGGGATCTCTCTTGGAGTCTCTTTTAGAAAGACACTGATTCCATTTGATGTGGGCTCTGATATCATGACCTAAGCATCTCCCAAAAGCCCTACCTCTTAATACTTTCATCTTTGGGGGTTAGGATTTCACATATAAGTTTTGAGGGGACATAAACCTTCAGACCATAGCACTTGCATGGGTGATAGATGCTCATTATGAGTTCTTAGACTACGACAGAACTATTGCTCTTCGTACATCCATGTACAGGAGGTTTGTTTTGGTACTCTCACAACGTGGCACATGGGTCACTCTTTTCCTCAGATTCATTGGTCTTTCTGAGATACACTCACTTACACTTCCACACTAGTTATCCTCTTTTCCTGGGGGTAAGTAATCACTGGGGATTTTTTTGTTTGTTGCTATAGAGATTTATGTAATATTTTCCCTTTTCTCTTTCAGATGTTCCCACCTGAAAGATATTTATCATGCATATGACCTAATGCTGTTGATAATTGTCCCACTCATTCATTTTTTTGAAGGATTTTTTTTTCAGCTGTTCTAGTTAGGCTATTTGATTTCCAGTATGCATGTTGGGATCCAAATACAAACTGAGAATGTGACCTTTCAGAAATAACATTGGTAACACTTTACTTCTGATATCAACTGACCTGATCTCTTGCTTTATCTGTTGTTATAAGCTGTGACTTAGGATTGGATAGTCACCAAGGATATGTCATTTTAAATTTAGTATCATTTTATTTATTTGGTATTTTATAAAACTGGCTTGTCAATTTGTAAGCGGGCATAATGCCACCAGAACAGTGGGTTCCTGAGAGAATGAGAGTAAGCATCAAGTCTGACAATTATACGCTAGATGAATATCCAAGAATATGGAAATCTGAAAACGGCAAGTTCTTAATGTTAAATTTAAATACCATTGATATTTTTTGTAAACATGTGAACACTGAAAATTGCAGTTTAATTATATTATACTTTAAATTTCACCTTCAAAAATCCATTGTCAATACCTAAATCTTCCATGGAGTTTAATGATTTCCATAGAGCTTAATAACACATAATATTTTTATGTAATGCCACATGTAGGAAACCTCTGAATTTAATTCATATATGCTTACATAACTATATATGCATATGTATTTTTTCTCTGAATTTTCGAGGTTCAGTTAAAAATGGCTAGGGGTGCCTGGCTGGCTCAGTCTGTAGAACATGGAACTCTTTATCTTGGGGTTGTAAGTTTGGGCCCCACGTTAAGTGTACAGTTTACTAAAATAAAATCTTTTTAAAAAAATGGTTAGTGTTTAGTAATGTGCTTGGTCATGTTTCCATTAGTCATGCTGATCCACGGTAAACATTTCTGAGCATATACAATTTTATATCACGCACCCCACTTAAGTTCAATTTACATATTTTCCGTTCTTAATTTGCTTCTGTGTCATATAGGTGTTAGGTAAACTAAACTATATGAGAAAGTCAATAAAATCTAGAGAAATTGTTCCACAAATGCTAGCTATTCAACATTTACTAAGTAAGTATTTACAGGCTTCAATAGCTCATGTACCATTCTAGGCACATGAGAAATATTCATGAAGAACACAAAAGTTAAACTTGACTTTTGTTGCTTATCACTCTTTTGTTTCATTATGTCTGTCATCTATACTTCCTCACCTGCAGATAATTGAAAAATTGATTTTAAGTGGAAAATGGAATAATTTTAAATATTATTAATGCAGGAGAGGAGTCACTCACAATTTTTGTGGACAAGCGGAAGCTGAGCAAAAGATCTGAAGGAAGTGATTCCAGCACCAATAGCTCTATGGTCACACTGGAGACACTACATCAACTAGCCGCTTCCTATTTCATTGACAGGGACAGCACCCTTCGGAGACTTCACCACATTCAAATTGCATCCACTGCCATTAAGGTATGAATGAGTTTACCTTAAAATGATGTCATACCATGATTTTTCCTAGCTCTAAAATGCATCTCTATATATTTGCATGTATCACTGATTTAAACAATTATGTTCAAAAAAAAACAGTCACATTTCCATTTGTCATAAGTTATGTAATAGATTTCGATGAAATGGTGTGTCTGCAACATTGTGACTTGATAACTGGGTCAAGGTTTTTCATGCCCTAATGTTAATTGAAACACACTTGAATTGTGTAAGTGTCTGGGGTATACAATCTCCCTCATAACGTGTGTGTGGATAAAACTTTGTTTTAATAACATTAATTTATTTTGTGAATATTCCTATTTTATAGTATTTATTTAAAAACATTCTGAGAAGGTGCTGTTTTAGGCTCAAAATGGTCAGTGACACAAAAGTCATTAAGAAGTCCTGGTTTAAGGAATATTTTCCCCCATCCTTTAACAATATAATTAAGAAGTACAAGTATTTGGGGGTAAGTTTCTGCAAGTCAAGACACAGCATAGTCTAGAATTAGTAGGTGAACTCCATGTGTTCACTAGAATCCTTTCCGTCTGACTATACTAAGGTTAATTTCACCAAAACTAAGAGAAAGTAAGAATAAGGTGCCTTTAATTTTTTTAAAAAAGAGAGAGAAACAGAGGAAGAGAGACAGCGGCTTCTAAAACATCAGATTTTTTGACACATTTTTCTGGCAGTTTAAATCAACATGTTATTGTGTTTGGTCAACAGACATTGCCAAATAAAGAATCATCACAGTGTGATAGGGTGATCCTGGACTAAGTTAGCAAGAACAAAATAAAATATAAAGAGCATTTCTTGGTGTTTCACCTGTAAGATTTCATAATCAATGCAAAAAGCAGTCATTAAATTTATGATTTTAAAATTAATAGTTGTGTTTTGTAAGTTAATAAAATGTTAGTACTTCAGTATTTTGGGAATGTTAGGAAAAATTAGTCTAAGTCATATATTTTGTGTGAGATGTTCCAGAGAGAATAAAAGGTGATACAGCAATATCTTTAGCTTATGGGTTACACAGATAATACTACCTGTCTTCCATATTCCTGGTAGATGAAGTTGGGAAAAAGACTTCCTTAGATATAAATTACACAATTATAGTTAGTCTACTTCTGATTGTAGGACTTCTGTTATATTGGATAATCAAAAATATAAATAGCATTTATGCTGTATAGATAAAACTGTAGCCAGCATGAATGTAGATATTTTAGTTAATTTAAAAAATATTGTAAGATAGGGTATTGTTAGAGATAGTTAGCTTGAGGTTGCTGAGGATAAATAGACTTTTTCAGAAATCAATTTCAATGATATAAACAGTAACTTAAAGTGTATTTTCTAATAGAAGACATCATTATTGTAAGTATGTTTATTATATGGCTATTGATTTTTTTTCTCAGCACCAAGTAGAATTATGCAGTGGAGGTTTGTACTTTACTCAGGAAAAAATATTCATTCACAGTTTATGTCAAAACTTAACGGAAGGTCACCAAGGACTTGGAACAGGACTTGAGTCTGGAGAGACCTGGTCACAGGAACAGGATCTTAGGGACAAAAGGCATCTGCTTGTCTCTAAGCACTAAACTACACAAATGTGCCTATCCCACCTGAAGGCAGAGCTGGAGGATACTGGCCTGCCTGCCCTGATAAGACTGGGCCTTGCTGGTTGGGTGGAGTTTCATCTAATGAGACAGGAGGGACCCCTAGCTGTTGGAGAAGCCCTGGACCTCATCAGGCTGCAAGTCCAAACTGGGACTGACTGTAGCCCATCTTTAGCTGCCGCCTCAGGGTAGTTTTTGGCGGGTGGGCCCACTCCTCATTGGAGACTATGCAGGGGGTTGGTGCCGGGCCCCAACTCCACAGTCTGGAGGGCCTAGCAGCCCCAGGCAGGATAAAGGGGTGGTTACTTCATCTGCACGTGGAGCAGTTCACGGTGACTATGGATTGGGAAAAAAAAATTTTTTTAAATCTTGATGGATATTTGTATGTAATTCTGTTCTCCCACGAGTGAAGTATGTATCACAAAAATCAACATGTTTTAATGGTGTAAAGTATTGCACACAGGCATTGTTCTTCGACCCTGGTGATTCAACTCTGGTGATACAACTGTGTGATAGAAACGAGCTTTAAAGAAGTAACTCTTAGAAGTAAGTGATCTAAGAGGAGCTCTGAGAAAGAGGAGGGAGTAACCTGGAATGTGGGAGAGTAAACAACCTCACCTTTAGAGCTCCAGGGAATATTCATTATCCACTAACCATGGGAAGGCCTCCAGAGCACATAATGGAAATCTTTCAACATGTGTGCATAGAGTGGCTGCGGATGAAGAGGAGAAGTGGGGCTTTAGATCCGGGACAGGAAGCAGAGGGCAGTAGCGGGGAGGATGCAGGGATGGATAGTAAAGAGCAGTAAAAATACCTTGTGCTGTAACTGAGGGGAAAAAAGAAATGAGGTATGTGCCAGTAACAACACCATGACTAAGAATATAGTCACAGAATTATGTAGGGAGTACAAGTGTGAGGTAGTGGGAAATGGGAAAGAAGGGAGGACAATCAGACTTTGCAGGACTTAATTAGGTCTGGATGGAGTTCTCTTCTGAGGCAGTTGTCATTTGAAGTGATTGGTGATTTTCTGGTGCAGGGTCAGGTGCTGTCTGGATTACTGGAAAAGCTCAAAGGTAAAGCTCTTGAGGAGGTCTATAGGCTCTTTTCTTGCTTGCATAACTGTATGTGCCTGGGAATTTTTCTGGGGAGAGTATCTTTTATTTTCATTAGTTATCAAGTACGTCCCTACACAGATAAAAGGTGTCTCTCCTCAATTATAAGATTATAATTGCTTAGATGTAAGTTAACAGAATAGGAAGGACTGAGGATGGGAATGGGGGTGTGCAGGGGGGAATCTAAGGGCATTCAACTACTGAAATTCTTCCTACTTGAATACATAGTTCAATGTAAAGTGCTTTTGTAGTACATTTGAAATCAAGAGCGTAATTCCTTTACTAAATCCCTGAAGGTTTAATGCAGTGTTTGTATATTTAAAGTTTTCAACTAAGGGTAGCAAGATCCACAGTTTCTTTGATAAGGCAAAATGTTTTGGGTTTGAAGTGCCATGTAGTAGGCATTTAATTTCTTCAACAAACGTATGAAGTTGTCTCTTGATTTATAGAATTTAGGAAACAGAGTATTGTTAAAAAGGAAAGTCAAGTAAGATCATTATCAGATAACAGCAAAAATATAATTAAATCTGCAAAATCATGCCTGCTTTTATCATGCTAATTCTTGCAAAAACACAAAAGAGTCGGACAAATAGTGTTAACTATGAGCCAACTTCTAAAAAATGGGATAGAACAATTTGTTGTTTTTATCTCTTATAATTATGAATATAAATGTAGGCTGCAGTTCATTAACACATCTAGAAATTTAAAAAAAGAGGCTCAAACACCTATGAAGCTTAATTAGCTGTCATATTATTCCAATTAACAGCATTTATATCAAATATTCTTTCTCAATATTATTTTTAATGCAATAACATGTCAAATATAATTTCTAGAATTGGCCATTTTCAGAAGATTCAATTCAATTGACTCAAGTTACCTAAAGATCACACTAACATGTTCTTTAGGTTTACCGTGAAATAGTCTAATAAATTTAATCTCATGTGATTGTCAATGAAAATATATATTTTGAGAAAATGTAATCTATCACCTGATGTAGTATGTGCATTTTCCAAAACTTCCTTAATACACTAAATTCTAAAAATCAGGTTACATTCAGTGAGTAAAATTAAATTTTTTATCAAACACTTAAAAATTTTATTTTATTTTTTTTAAGACTTTCTTTATTTGACAGAGAAAGAAAGAGAGAGCACAAGCAGGGGGAACAGCAGAGGGAGAGGGAGAAGCAGACTCCCCGCTGAATAGGGAGCCTGATGCACAGCTCTATCCCAGGACCCTGGGATCATGATCTGAGCCAAAGACAGATGCTTAACCAACCCAGCCACCCAGGTGCCCCTCAAACATTTAAAAATTTTAAAAGAACTAAGTTATTATTTTCTCAAAATAAGTACTGATGACTTCATTGTATTTCTGGCATTTTTCTTATACAGAAAAAAATCAGATTTTTAAAATTTTAGTGTTTACAAAATTTTTCCAACAAATTTAGGAAGAAGCACAAATAACATGTTAAAATTACCTTGAAGTTCAACAACTCAGCTAAAATACCCACTCAAATGATATTTAGTGCCACTTAGTTTACTTAAGAATGTTGCAGGTGATGATGAGAAGAGGCTCCACAACTTTAGATCTACATTACTGAAATGATAAAAATCCATTAAATTAAAATTTATAATGCCATTTATAAAATTAGGCCTGATAATAACATTCCAAGAAGCATTTCTGATATGTAAATTATTTGCTCTTTAAGAATAAAATCAGCAAAACCTCATAATTTTTAAATTTTATTTCTATGTATTCAAAAAAGCTTACTTTAAAAAGACATGAGATGAGAAAATTTACACATAAACCATTCATAATAATTGAAGGTTTGATTTCAATATTAGTTTGATTTTCAGAAGGGTTCCCTTAGTAACCTCTAGGGTTTTAAAAAGACATTTTAACTTGCACACAAATTTAAGCATCTTGGTACAATTCTAGTCATACATTTAACGTAATACATTTGATAATTCTGATAGTCTTTTCAAGTTCACAAAAAATATATATCTGCATTTTTTGTGTATACATATTTACTTGCCCCAATATTTTTTAGCCTAAAGGAATAATATATTATTCCCGAATAATTAATATATATAAATTTAGTGTCATTATTAAATTCATTAAAAAAATTCAGAATAATTAAGATTCATATTTTTAAATATTTGAACTTTCATATTCTTGATAATAATTTTCTACATTTTATTACAGGGCTTTATTTCCTGTGCTGAGCTTTCTCTACTTTTGACAAAGTCTTAATTTGCTAGAGAGC